GGGCCAACCCAGCACAGGCCCAAGCAACATCGCAGACGATGTTTGTTTTGATGGGCGAGGGAGTGTTGCGACTCACTTGGATGGACTGAATGAGAACAGGCCCATTAGAGTCAGAAAGAAGCCCAATTACTTAGCAGACTATTTTCAATAGTCGGTCCACTTTATAGTGTTAACAGATGTTGTAATGAAAACCCAGAAAAATAGAAACAGGAATAATGTAAGTGATACGAGTATATAGCCAAAGAAGGGCTGGAATAGAAAATATGGAAAAGTTGGACAATCCTCTCTCTAATTTCTGTCTCTCTCTACTCTTATCTCATCAATCCTTCCTTCTCCTTCTTATGTTACAGATCTGAACCCTTACAAGATGTCTCCGACAATATAAAAAAATATTTTTCCTTAAATTAAACCCATCCGGTACATAAAAAAACCATACAAAAAATCCCAGCCTTAGAAAAGTTTTTCTAGTTGTTATTTAAGTTGACTCATTGTATTCAGATGACAAAATCACACATCATATATTATGGACACAACCGACAACATTTAATAGCACAACGACTGATACCCATCCATGGACCATATTGATATATATATTCGGATTGTATTACTTTTGAGTTTTGACAAATCAAAGTCCACCCACAAAGCAACGTGTACATTTTCTAGAATGGAATGAATTTTAAACATGAAATGTTCAAACTTAAATTTCAACCACAAAGCTGAATAGAAATTTCTTCACAGGCACAAACATTTTAGGTACGTAGTAGTTAGCATATAGCAATATAAATATACATCCCCTGTATCCTCAACCTTGCTCATCAAATAGCTAAATTTGACATCCTCAAGATGGGAAAAAACAGGTTATTAAGCTTTGTTGTAGCAGTATTCGGGGTGGCCATTGTTATGATGATGATGGTGAGTGCTCAAAACTGTGGGTGTGCAGCAGGGTTATGTTGCAGCCAGTACGGGTATTGTGGGAATGGTGATGCATACTGTGGTACAGGGTGCAAGCAGGGTCCTTGATATCAGACCCAAAGCCCACCCACCAATGATGTTAACGTTGCTGACATCGTCACACCACAATTTTTCAATGGTATAATTGATCAGGCTGGTGCTGGTTGTGTAGGGAAGGACTTTTACTCACGATCTGCTTTTCTAGATGCTCTCAACTCCTACAATCAGTTTGGTAGGATTGGTTCTGTTGATGACTCCAAGCGTGAGATTGCAGCTGCTTTTGCTCATTTCACACTTGAAACTTTACGTGAGTATTACCACTATTACCTTTCTTCATATATAAACTTGTTATGGGCGGTCCTCACAATCCACTTGTAATACACCGGCCGGCCCATTAAGAACACTGCCATAGTGAGCACATGATCTCACCATAGGAGATTCCTTTCACTCCTACCCAGTTCACCATCGTATAGGTACTATGGTGAGGTAGTAGTTCTTCACTGCAATTATGAGAAATTGGCTAACTATTTTGTCTCACTTCTTTCTTTCATCATTTATCTATATAAACTCATCTTCTCCTCTTGAAGAGATATATGATATTCTATATTTTCATAATGAATTTTAGAGACAGAATAGCCTATACATTTCCCTTTTCTCAGTTCTTTCTGAGACTGCACTTACGGTGACTCTGTAAGAGTTTTGGTCCATTCCACTGTCTCCTCAAGCATCCAAATATTGAGATACTTAACCTCTTTCTTTCATCTTTAGCGAATATTTTTCTAACTATATAAACCCATTTTCTCCTCTTGAAGAGGCATATGATATTCTATACTTTCATAACGAATTTTAGAGACCTAGTAACCTATACATTTCCCCTTTTTCAGCTCTTTCTGAGATTACATTTACAGTGACCCTCTAAGAGTTTTGGTCCATACCATTGTCTCCTCAAGCACCCCAGATATTGAGATACTTAATCTCTTTAAGGATACGGATCTAGCTCTTATTCCGTTACAGCTCCAAACTAAAGGGCAAAGCTAGGTCCACAAGACTTCCTGACTTGTGAAGATAAGGATGAGAGTTGATTGTATGTAAATTTATCTTTGCTAGTTGTTTCCAAACTTGAACGTGTGACCTTCAGGTCAGAAGAAGTAACCTGTTTCTTCATATATAAACTATTGATTAATTGTTAATTGGGATGATTGATGAACTTTAATTAACATGGCCACATACAAAATATTACAATTAAAATTTAGTTAGAGATTAGTTGAGTGTTGAGTCGGCCTTTAGTTATTAATTAGTTACTCTCTTGTTCTATGTAAGCTACATGGTTTGGCTTGTTGTAGGTACTTTTCCCAATTCAGTAAATTTCATGTTTCTTATTATTCTCTCTCTCTCTCTTTTTGTTGTTGTTGTTGTTGTTATGTGTCTGAACTCAATTAATCCTGAAATGGGAATGCAGATTTTTGCTACATTGAAGAGATAGATGGTGCATCAAAGGACTATTGTGACAAAAACAGCACACAGTACCCGTGTGCCCCTAACAAAGGCTACTATGGGCGTGGACCAATCCAATTATCATGGAACTTTAACTACGGACCAGCTGGACAGAGCAACGGTTTCGATGGATTGAACTCACCTGAGACAGTGGCCAACGATCCTGTGGTGTCCTTCAAGACAGCATTATGGTACTGGATGGAACACGTGCGTCCCGTCATCAGCCAAGGCTTTGGCGCAACCATCAGAGCCATTAATGGCCGACTCGAATGTGATGGTGCAAGCCCCACTACAGTTCAGAAGCGCGTTAATTACTACACTCAATACTGCACACAATTGAGTGTTGCTCCTGGTGATAATCTTACTTGCTGAGGACTGAGGTAGCTAGCCACGTTATACATGTAACACATTTGATGATTATGTAGTATGAATAAATGATATATGAACAAGGGAAATGTTATATTTACAAATTTTTTGTTTACAAACTATACTAAGTATGACCGGTCATACTTCGATTAAGAATGTATGATCAGTCATATACTTAGTGTAATTTGTAAAAAGATCTTTTCCCTATCAATAATTCATTATGTTGCTTTGAAGTTAGGCTTTGATATTACTACATCGTTGGATAAAATCAAAGAGAAAACATCGATAATTATAACATCAATGAATGACATCCGTATCAAATTCAAATCTGCTTCTAAGAGATCCATTCCCTTAGAAAAGGTAATCCTTGTAAAGTAGGATGTGAGGAATATGAGGCAAAAATGAAGACTCCTTTCAATTCAACGTTATTTTTTGTATACACACGCATATGAATTCGAGATTGAATTTGATCTCAACAACTTAGAAAAGAAAAAATGATAAAATAATTAACTATGGTATCTATGTGTGCGTGTGCTTTTTGTTCTTTGGGTGAGATGTTGAATAATTGAATGAAAGAACGGGTTAATGACCAGGGCCCTTGGGACTTGGTCCAGAAGCCAAACGCTGCAACCAAAACGACATGGTGTTCTTGGCTTTCTCATAAGATGATGTGTATGTTTGGAGGTGATTAGCACTCGCAAAATCCTCCGAATCCGATAAAACCCTGCTTGCCTCCACCCCTCTTTGACCTTGAATGATAAAAAATGCCACGCAGATAACAACTGCGACCAAATTGAAAAGGGTGCATGCCTTTTTGGAATTCATTGCTGGAAAGTCTTTACTTTAGCTGAAACAAAAGAAGGGTTGTGCTGTCCTGCCTGGCTACTACCTTACTAATGAAAGCTCTTGTGGTTGGGGGGTTGTGTAGGAAAGAAGGAAGTGATGACCATTTTTATAGTGTGGTAAGTGGCAAGGAATCAGTAAGGATGTTGGTTTGTGCTTTAGTCTTTTTTGGGGACCAGAAGAGAGTACGTGTTGACCAAGAACATAGGAAAGCTGGCATGCAAATGGAATCTGAAACATACCTAGTTTGGTTTTGCCGTCCAAACAGAGTACATGGTTTCCACAGTTTAAAATGTTGCTCTTACGAATGTCTCCTTGTTCAACTCATCACCGAGGCCAAATCCTGGAGGGTATTTTGATGATTTGATCAGTCATGCCGACATTGTAATGGTGTTACCGTGCTAAGTTTCATTGTGGGGCATCATTTTATTTTGTTCCAAGTTTGAAATATTGAATTGACTACCTTACTCGTGTTTGATATTTTGAATGGACTATGGCAGAGAAAAATGGAAATAGCAGTAGGTTATACCTAACTTATACTGGTAATTTTGGAAAGTTAAATGGCACGAAATATCGAGTACGAAATGTCAAGAATAGGTTCATAACCACTGGATGGCCATGGGGTAAAATGACAATTTAAAATGTCTTTGTTTTCTATTTCGGGGATTACCGACGAGATTGATTTTGAGCTTAGTTATCTAGCAGTTGCAGGCCATCTTATAATATGAACTCCTCGTCCGACAATATCTTTGGTATTATAGATATATCGAAACTTCAGTGCATTTTATGTGTCTTATTTTATATCAAATCACTCTCTTTCCTATTTTAAAATAAATTATTTATTATTGATTTGACAAAAATAAAACACGTGTCACAATATGAGTAAAAGATCCGTAACACCAAAACAATTTCCGTAGAACTGAACATAATAGGATGAGCGAGAAAATGGATAACCTTATATGCTGTTCAGGCATATTTTTGTCAAAAAAACTAAGCCTGACGATACGTGTATCACAATAACATCACACTGAAGATGTTAATATTATTCAAGTCGGATCGATTATTGACTTGGACAGATCCTGACTCCTGAGTCAATGTTTCAACCGGAAGGTTTTTCATCGAACCGATCAAACTAAATTTATAGAAATATACTATAAATATAAGGGAAATAATACTCTCATATTACATGAGATTACACCATTTTTCTACACAAATTCATTTTCCGTGTCAATTAATTTTTATTTTCTTTTTGAATATAAAATATGGGACCCACATTTAACTTCTTTCTACTTTTTTTCTCTCTTACAATCCTACAACATAAGAAAAGTTAAACCCATAAATATAATAAGAGTACTATAACAAAAAAGAAAATATTGGCTTAGTGGAAAAAAGCCAATGATGTTCCAACACTAGCTTCAAGGGTCCCATTCCTCATGGCTGCAATTCTAGCAATATTTTACATAAAGTTTCAAAAACTGATTCAAACTAAAAAATGGGTTCCGACTTGAATGCATTTCCATCCAAATTTTGGCCACTAGTCATACAATATATATGTCATTGGCCCTTAGCTGTACAATGTTAATACGTTACATAAATAACTAGAATCAATCACGAAATACGAAGAAATAAAAACAATTTCCGTGCTTCAAAATTCCTTTGCTTTTTGCCTCAATTGACCGAGTTCCATCTCAATCTCAGCATCTCCAAATGGGATTCCAGTGTTTGTGCTAGTAGTGCCTCTTCTTCCAGGAGGAAGCTCTGCTTTCAGCTCAAAGCAAACAGTCAAACAATGAAATTGGAAAAAAATATTTAGCATGACTTGTATCACATAATTCATCTGCCTCCACTTAACTTTTCATTGTCACATTGTACAACGAAGCATGATATAATTCATGCAAAATAGATAGGTCGACTCAGACTCTATAATGCCACCATTTGTTGGCACAATCTACACCAAAAAAGTAACAATAATTTAATAATTATATTGACATTATTTTAACAGTGTAGATTGAGCCAAGAACTTGCAGCATGCATACAGCTTCTTCCACTGTAGGATTTCACACGTTTGATAACTTCTGGTCGCAACACAGGGAAAGGAAAAAACTTGGCAAGGAAGTTACTTCCAAATTTTCATCCCATTCCTTAACTAGACATACAAACTATTTTCCATTTGACCCATACCTTTGAGCCCCAAGATAGTTTTTTTCTTTCTGCAAGATTATCATCATCTAACGTGTTCTCTAGCAATGCAAACAGCAAAAGTCAACAATTGGTCCATAAATTTCAAAAAAGGATTATATTATATAATAAAGGAATAAGTTTTACAACCTTTTCAACTCCAAACTAAACCAATTCTCATACACAATACATCCCACTGATGGATAACACAGCCCAAGATAGAGTGATTACAAAGGATCCATATACATATGTTGGGAGAAGGCTTGTTCTTGTGGTTTATATATTTGTCTGAGCCATACTCATTATTATTTTCCAAAGGAGAATAAATGATATGAAGTAGGTTTCGTTACATAATCACTGGGGCTCAGGCTTTATTTCTTCCCTAAATAACTTGTAAGGAAATATTTTCCACATTTTCCAAGAGCAAGTGAAACAGCCAAAGTGAAGCACAACACTATTGAATAAAAAAGAAGTCTCAAGAGGCAGAAGAAATGATTTATAGGTATAATCATCTTGTAAAGTAAAGTTCAAACTTTATTAATTATAACAAAATAGAATGCTAGCATTATAATTCTAAACTAAAAATTGTTCAATACTTCTAGAAGGATACACATTTTTTTTTTACATAAAGGCAGAAAAAAAGAGAGAGGAAAATATACATTAAAGCACATTTAAGATTGAAGTTAATATTCAAAAATACATAATAGAAAATAAAATTCATGCGGATAAACCTAGAAAAATAGAGAGGGCAACGCCAAGTGAGTAGGCTCCAACGAAGGTCCCAAGCAATTGCGGGGAAGGGCGAGTTAGGGCACCGATTCCGACGATCCCGGCGACACCAACAGGAACGCGCACCATAACCGCTTTTCCGGCGCCGGATAACACGGCTTCAGTGTATAGCTGAAGAGCCCATGCCTTGAAAACGACGGGTCCGAGGATCTGGTCGGGTGAAGTGACGCGGCGGAGGGCGGAGTCAACCTGCGACCGATCGGGTGGTGTGGGGACCCACTTCTGGATGAGTGGTTGAGGGGCGTTGGATTTGGAGATGAGATTGTGGATGTGATCGGAGGCAGTGTTGAGTTGGTAGGGAAACACTCCTTCGAAGGCGTGCTGCGTTAGAGAGAGACAGTGAGAGAAGGCCGAGTCGCATGCTGAGTCGAATTGGGTCGAGTTCGATAGACAATTCTTCACTCGCTTTGACGCCGATGACCCCATGATTCTCTCCTTAATCTCAATCCAATTTCGAGGTGAGCGCACTTATTATGCATATCTCCGTTTCTTTGTAAAGAAATTTTACTCACATTTAACATGGTTCAAGCAGTGTTGTTCACTTGTTTGTGTATACAGTACTCCCGGAGTAGATATAATGGATAAATGGGAGTGTGCATATCAACTTTTATTATTTCGTAGAAAGAAAAAAAAAAAAAAATATATATATATATATATATATATATACACAGAGGGATATGTTATTCTACTTACTATTTTTACTGTCCACCTTTGCCTACCACCCTCTAGCACCATTAGATCATAATATCAAGAAGAGAGAGAAAAATAAATATTAGTTAAAATTCTGATCTAATGATGTTTTAGAGTCGTAAGCAAAGGTAGACAGAAAAATAGTATGTAGAATAACCTCTCATATATATATATATATATATATATATATATATGGAATAGGTTATTTTACCTACTCTTATTTTGCCTACCCTTTTAATACCGTTCGATTACAATCTCATTCAACGGTCAATACTTATGATATAAAAACATCTTTTTTTTCTCATTCTTTCTCCTCATTTTACCCTTTCTCTCTCCTCACCTTTCTCTCTTCCTTTGCGACCAGCATAAACATAGATTTTTGCCCAGCATATGATGATGTCTCTACCTCACTTTTCCAAGTATCCTTAGCGCATGTTTGGTACATAGTATAGGTTAAGGCGTGATAGTATAAGACCTGATAGTATAAGGTCTGATTGTATAAGACCTGATTGAATTTTAATACTATCCAGCGTTTGACACGGTATTGTATAAAATAATATATTGTATAAGATAATATCATCTGGTATTTGGTAATGCACTATATAATACTATATATGATAAAAATAAATATTTTTAATAAAAATATCTTTTAATAAAGAATTTATATAATTCTTCAAAAAATGTCATATGATATTAATTTTTATTGATCAGTGTGTCCAAAATATAACCGATTAGAGTTACTACCAATGTTATTATCAATCAATTTCACCGTAAGATCGATTTTATTGATCCAATGATTATATTTATTTCTCTTTTCGTATGATTATGATTTTCCATTTTAATACTTTATATGTATTTCCACCTTTGTATGATTATGATTTTTTATATTTAATACTTTCACTTTAAACATGGGGATCATAATCATACAAAGATGGAAATAAATATAACCGTTAGATCCATATAATCGATCTAACGGTGAAATTGATTGGTAGTAATATTGGTAATAATCCTAGTTGGTTGTTATAATTCTTACCCCTATATTTTATTATATGTATTTTCAAAAATATATAATACAAAATTTCGTGTCGTACAGTCATATCTACTGATCAGTACTCCTGTTGTACTGAAATTGTTCTCGTGTCTAGGAACTCTTCTCTCTCGGTGAAAAGTTACTCTGGTCCAGATGCAGGTGCACCTTTTCAAAAAGTAGAAAAAAATTAGGACATGGAAGTAAATAAATAAAATGACATGGATAAAAATGTCATAAGAAATTTTTATTTTGGGAAAATGAAACACTCAATAAAGGTGCAACCGGACCACTTTAAAAATTCTCCCTCTCTCGAATTCGAGACATTATATATATATATATATATATATATATATATATATATATATATATAGGAAAATCATTTTCTCATGTGATAGGAGATAGCTTTCTGTGAGACATCGAAATCTGTGTAATCCTTTTTGTTTTTTTGTTTTTTTTAACAAGTGGTGGGCCCCATCACTTGTTGTGTCTATGGCATGAGAGATGCAACCTCATGTGGCATGAGAAAAGAGAAACCCATATATATGTGGTAAAATCATTTCTGCAGCTGTTTTACCTACAGCAACGACAAGTGTATGGTTATGATTCTCCACATTTAATGCTTTCATCCTTTGTATGGTTATGATTCTCCTCATTTAATGCTTTCAAGTATATATATATATATATATATATATATATATATATATATATATATATATATATATAGCAAGTATTTGATTGCTGCAACTACAGTAGCTGCAGAAATGTAAACCCCTATATATATATATATATATATATATATATATATATATAGGATAAAGGATTTCTCCAGTTACTCGAGATAAAGTTATCTCCGGTGAGCCCAAAACGACGTCGTTTTGGGACAAAAATCAAAGTATTTTTGTAATTCTAATATATTGCAGGGTTATATTAGTCTTTATCATTATAATTTTTTTAATCTTATAACCCAGAACGACGTCATTTTGAGCTCACTGGAGATAACTTTATCTCCAGTGACTGAAGAAATACGTTTCCCATATATATTGTGTTTATGTTATGCAAGTAATGAGATAAAAGTAAAATTCTTTTATAACTCCAAAATAAAAATTCTTTTATAATTCCAAAATACATGATTTTGAGATTTGAAAAAATATATGGTAAAATGAATCTTGTCACAATGCCCTTTTCTAGGTGTTTGATCGTATTGTGCTTTTTTTCGTAATAATATATCTGAATGCCACGGAATGAAAAAAAAATTCAAACTGTCACAGCATTATAGTCGCTGAGCTACTTAATTACTATAGACAAGACACTTGTCACTCCCCCGTGGCTGAAAAAGCCTTGCAGGCCTAGTTGGTTTGGTTGCCCACGTGTTAATGGAATGGCCAAAGTAGCAAATTTTCCAGCTACGCACACCAAAGTAGTTTTTTCATAATAATATATCTGAATGCCACGGAATGAAAAAAAAATTCAAACTGTCACAGCATTATAGTCGTTGAGCTACTTAATTACTATGGACAAGGCACTTGTCACTCCCCCGTGGCTGAAAAAGCCTTGCAGACCTGGTTGGGGATAAATCTTAAGTAGTACAGTAGTACCCACTGCTCAGTACTACTTTCATACATTTCATGACATTTGGAAACAATAACTCACGTCAGCTTTCTACGTGTCATTAAAATTTTTAATTTTTTTTTCGTTTTAATTTTTTACCCATTACTCCCTGACTCCCGCCATTTTTCCCACTTCTTTCATTTGCCTCTATCCCGTCTCTTCCATTTCTGTCTTCTTCCTCTTTTACTTCTCTCTCATACTGTTGATTTTATTTTAAGAGATTGCAGTGACAAAATAAAAACGAGGAAGACTGAATAGAAGTTCAGGTAAAGACTTAAGTTGTCATGTTAATAGAATCTTCCAAACATAACTTTGAATTTATTTGTTTGTTTTTGTCTTTATGGTTGTCGCTGCCAACTTTAACAGGGGTTGGAAACTATATAAGCAATCTAAAGAACTAGAAAGAAAAAAATGCAGCCAACTGACTCAAGCACGATTCGTCAAGGTATTTCCATATAATCACAAACTGCTACATGATTGACTCTTTCTAAATGAATATTCAGTATTTTTTTCCCCGTTCTTTAAATTGCAAGTGTTATTTGTGCTGCATTCTTTTAGGAAATTGCGACATGGATATGCTTTATTCTGAATCATTGTCATCTAGTGAAGTGAACGTTTCAGAAAGTGAATATGATGATGAACAAATAGAAATGCCAATAGTTGTGAGCATAGAAGAAAATGGATGCGAGCCAAAAATTGGAATGATGCATATGCTAAATTCATTGGTTTTATAAGTTCTATAATGTATATGCTAAATTCATTGGTTTTACTGTGAGAAAATCGCAGTATCGAAGACTAGCAGATGGAACCATAAGCCAAAGATCATTTGTTTGTGGAAGAGAAGGACATAGAAGGTTGAAAGACCCTTGCATTCAATCTCCAAAAAAATCTCAATTTCATATGTGAAGAAAGTAAATAGAAGAGAAACAAGAACGGGTTGTCCGGCTATGATATGCTTTAAGATTGAGAAGGATAATTGGATTGTTTATAAATTCATTCCAGATCATAATCATGATCTTGTGAAATCAAGCGCGAGAGCTATGTTAAGATCCCAAAGACATGTTGATGAAGCGCATGCTAATATGATTGAAAATATGGATAATGCTGGTATAAAACCATGTGGTATGTATTCATATTTTGTTGAAGTTGCTGGAGGAGCCCAAAATGTTGGATTTTTAAAACATGATTGTGATAATTTTTTACAAAGCAAAAGAAGCAACACTCTTGAAGCAGGAGATGCACAAAGTGTTATTAACCACTTTAAAAAAATACAAGCGAATGATTCGTCCTTCTTCTACACAATGCAAGTTGATTGTGAAAATCGTATGACCAATTTTTTTTGGATAGATGGAATATCAAGGACAGATTATAGTCACTTTGGAGATGTAGTCATTTTTGACACAACTTACAGAACAAACAAGTATAATATGGCTTGTGCGCCTTTCATTGGGGTGAATCATCACAAACAAAGCGTTCTGTTTGGTTGTGCTTTCTTGTTAGATGAGACAACAGAGTCATTCATTTGGCTATTTGAATCTTTTTTGGAAGCAATGGGTGGATTGCAACCTAAGACAATTTTTACTGATCAGTGTCAAGCAATGGCAAATGCTATTAAAAGAGTGTTTCCCGAATCTCAACATCGACTTTGCTTGTGGCATATTAGCCAAAATGCTGCTAAGCATCTTTCATATTATTTGAGGCAACCTAACTTTAAGGTTCTATTTAATAGGTGCCTTTATAATTGTGAGTATGAGCAAGAGTTTGAAGAAGTATGGACCCGTTTACTCACAAAAGTTGATATTTCAAAATGTTCATGGTTGAAAATTTTTTATGAGTTACGACAAGATTGGTGCCCGGGATTTAGCAAGAATTATTTTTCAGCTGGCATCTTATCAACACAAAGAAGTGAGAGTATGAATAATATTTTTCGTACTGTAACTTGTAAGACAATGTCTCTTACTCAATTTGTTCTTCGTTATGAGAAAGTTTTGGAGCGTAGACGTTGGTCAGAGTTGCAAAAAGACTTTGAGTGCAATCAATATGCACCTCCTCAGGTAAACAAACTTGCAGGTATGGCTGAACAAGCTGCACGGGTATATACTCATGTTGTTTTTGAAGAATTCTATGAAGAACTATTTGATTCTTTATCTGTGGCAATTGAAAAAACCAATGAGCATAGTAAATTAAATTCAAAAAGGGTATTAGATCCCCAACGTGTTCGAGCAAGGGGAGTTACAAATGCTAGACTAAAAAGTCAACTAGAGAAGAAAAGATGTAAAAAATATATATCACAAGCTCGAAGCAAATCTCATGCTGATAAAGGTAAAATGAATAATATAATTAGGATCATACTTTTTTTAATTTTATAGAATTATATGATTATTTTTAATCTTATTTTATTTTTTGTGATTTAGGCAAAGCTACAAGTACCAGTGCCAAAGATTTTAGTACATCTTCAACACCTCCACCAGCTTTTGGTTTTCCGTATGTCTCTCAAGTGGCAAATGATCCATATATCTCTCAAGTGACAAATGATAATACTCTTCCAACAACATTTTGTTTTCCATATATCTATCAAGTACCATATACACAGGTATAATTACATTGTAATTTTTCTAACTATCATCTTACTTTAAATTAGAATTTTCACTTTCTTTTAATGTGTCAACTGTCAAACAACAATTTTTTGGAAGTACTATGAGGCCAGACAAGCCATGATTGTAGAAGATGAATTTCATGATTTCATTTGGCAGATTGCATAAGACTTTCTGTTGCTAGACTTTCTTCAAGTCAGGTGGACTTTTTGTTGTTGGTGTTCTCCTGTGCCTCAATTGCCCAAATGAATATGCTTTTTTTTGTATTTATCTAGCTTCTCATATTATTTTGTTATTAACTCATTGGTATGCCATTTTGGTAGTTGTAAGTATTGTGTACAATGTACAGACTAATTTTTTGGATACTTGAAGTCAAATATTATGGGAAAGTATTATATTTTTTACCCCATTGAAGAATTCTGATGATAATTCCTAATTTATGGATATCTGTTTGTAGTTTTTTTGGCTTCTGTTGATCTATCCAATCCACGATTTCTGGTTCTTTAATGTGACTGCACTGTTTTTTTAAACCATTGCAAACATTTATAATCAGACGTATCGAGTGTAAGACATCATTAAGCTGAGCCCTAACTAGTGCTTCTCATAATCTTGTTTGCAGTTTGAAATTCACATTTTGTATGATTGCTGCATATTCTTTTAGCTTTGGGACTAAAAATTAGTCTGTACATTGTACACCTTAAGCATAGGACACCCTTTCGTATTGTATGTGTAGTAAACAGATTGCATTTCTTTATGTTTGCATCCAGGAATAAGAATTATTTTGTGTTGCCAAGCAGTACATGATGGGAAAGGTGGAATGAGAAAGCAAAATCGAAAATAGGGAGAATATTAAATGGATAACATGAAGAAAAAAAAAACAGTATCACGTTAACAACCAGGAATAAAGCAGTTCGAACAGAGGACCCATTTTTTGGGGTGCCTAAAATGCATTATATGTAGGGAGGTTTTTCCAGTATCACAACTGGTTATTTACACAAAGAATAAAAAGCCAAATAAAGATGAGATTCACATATTCCACTGTTAAGAAAAAAGAAAATAAAATCAAGACACTTCCTTCGTCTCACAGACACGACATTTGTTTAATGCCATAAGAATATCATAAGGACAAACCACAACCCTCATTGGTGCATTTCCTTTGAAGTAACATAGTTTCTACTTTCAGTGATATTCGAATTGGCAAGGACCTCTTTCAGTGGTATTCCCAAGCAACTTCACAATGACCGCTTTTTTTCCATGGGTTTCTTATACCTTTGCTTCTTTACTGCATCGAACATTTATCAGGCCATCATCCCACCATCATGCAAATAATTTTTGCATCACCACATACCCACCTGGAACAATATGCAGAATTACATTCAATTTGACACTATTAAAAATATAACAACGATAAGTATATGTAGCGTAGCTTAGCAAATTATTTTATTAAAATACTTAAAATATGATTCATGGATTAAGAAAAAACTAACTTAGGTAAGCAAGGTCGAATTGTATAAATACAACTTCAGCAATGAGCCCAACGACATCTTTTTTCTACAAGAGACGGAACAAAACCAATTATCACCAACACCAAACACAGATATATTGCAATTAAGGAACAATGTATAATAACAACACAGATAACATCGATTATAAATAATCAAAAGAAGAAAAACCTTTTCCACATCAAAACTACATTATGTGCTCAAATGGACGAAGGTGAAATAGAAAGACTATTTGATTGCTGAGAGCTAGGGTTAATTTGGGGAAATGAGAACTAATGAGAGGCAATCATCTACACTCGCTAACGCTCGTCTGAAACCCTAGCGCACAACCACAGACGGGATTCCGAATTTGTAATCGAGATGAAAGACAAAAAGACAGTGGGAGAGAAATGATAGAAGAAGAGAGCATATGTTACGGGAGGAGGAAGGAAGAAGGCAAGTGAAATGAAAGATGGAAACATTAAAACGAAAAAATAAAATAAAAATTTTAATGACACGTAGAAAGCTGACGTGAGTTATTGTTTCCAAATGTCATGAAATGTATGAAAGTAGTACTGAGCAGTGGGTACTACTGTACTACTTAAGATTTATCCCCTGTTGGTTTGGTTGCCCACGTGTTAATGGAATGGCCAAAGTAGCAAATTTTCCAGCTACGCACACCAAAGTAGCTTCCCTATTCAGCTACTATACCCTTGGTATAGAGAGGTTCTGAACAGTGCAGAGCTACAAGAAAATTTCTGAAAAGAGGGCTATAGTAGCTTCCCTATATAGCGACTATAATTGCATCTTCCCCACCTCCTTCCACACGTGCAGACAATCATTCTTAATCGTCTCCTTCGTCCACGATCTTCTTACTCCACTAGCAACCTTCCTGAACGGTGTACTTCCTCCACCGCAACAGAGATCGAGCTTGAAGCTGTCAAAGTTGAAGCTTTTGTCCCTTGGAAAGTTCAAGTTCACAGCCTGCAGGTAAGTAAAAAAAAAAAGCTCCTTTCATCCTTTCATTTTATTCTGTTATAAAGATGGTGTAGTTATAATTATAAGTGTTATTTTTAGGGAAAATACATGTGCTGTTGGAGGTTGTTTTCATTGTTGAAAACTAGATGAAGCTTCACACCATCCTTTTCATGCATTTGTTGTTTTTGACAAAATGTCCTTGTTGAGCTGAGAAGTTTCTTCAAAGTGAATTGTTGATGTTGTGTGTATGTGGATATTGAATATCTGTGTTGTATATATTTAATTTAATTATAATTATTTTTGTGGAGTAGAAATATTAGGATAAATAATATGTTTTTTTTTTAAAATCTTTTCTCTTAACATAGGATTATAATTATAAATAGATTCTTATTATCTTATTGAATTATTGCTTTTTGTAAAATAATGTTTATAATAAGCATTATTAATGTTTGATTAATTTCCCAACGACTTTGAGAAAAAGTAGCTACAGTCGCTACACCAGACGACTACTTTTGACATGGGAGAATGACACATATCTCGTTTATAGTAGTTAAGTAGCTTAGTCGTTATGAATTTTTTTTTAACTGTGTAACATTCAGATATATTATTATGAAAAAGGGACAGTACGTCAAACACCCCCCTTTCTTTGTTTTACGCTGAATTTAAATCACAAGTGAAATTCTTCATAAAATTAAGAACAGAGAGAAAGTAAAAAAGAGAGGATATAAAAATTATAATTATGCATTAAAATAACGTCATCTTATCTAAAATAACATAAAATGATATCTTTTAAAATAGTAAATATTTTTCTTTATTAAAAATCATCAAATATATGTCAAAATTATTTTTTTAATCAAAAATAATATAAAATTACGTAATTTAAAACGATAAATATTTTTTTTTCTAAATTTAATATTTATATTCATCTAAATTAACATAACGCATATTTTGGGAACGCACGAAATTAATAATTATTTCGATTATGCTAATTTTCTCTTATTTTCCTAGCATCTTCCATTTTTTCTCTTATTTACATCATAAAGGGGAGGCAACTCAGGCGGTGAGTTTTTTTCTCTTGTCGTCTCCGGAGAGAGAGTAATTGAAGAGAGGAAAATAGAAGAGCGGACGAACATGATATTAAGAGCAAATCAATCGCTGACTCTATGGAGTTTCTTCAGGCGTTGTGGAAATGAGGAACGGCGTTTCTTAAAAAAGACGAGTATCGATTTTCAGAACATCAACGACAGAAAAGTGATAGTATGCGGGCTCCGCTCCAGTTACAGTAAACGGCCACGCTCTAAATGTGTATTGTCCAAAGAGAGCATTCAAGTGATTCATGCACTCAAACTCGCCAAATCCAAATCCTCTGAGAAGCTCCATCAAATTCTCAACTCAAGCCTCACTAGGCTTCTCAATCGTGACCTCTTAGACGTCTTGGCTGAGTTACAAAGACAAAATGAACTCCATTTATCCCTCAAGGTAACCCACTCTCTCTTAATTTCATTTCAATTTTTTTAATATTTGTTTAATTTAAATGTTAATGTAAGTTTTGTTAGAGAAATATAATATAAATATAGGGTTTGTTTCAACCGCTTAAAATAAATTATTTATGTGGAGCCCAAAACAATATTCAATATTATTTTGAAATAGAAATCAAGATATTTTTTTAATTATAATTTATTTAAGGATTATAATAGTTTTTCTCATTATAATTCTTTTTTAACCCAAACGATGTCGTTTTGAGAGTAAATATAAATATCTATATTTACTATAAAAACATTAAAGCCATAAATATGTAGGAAAATAGTTATCGAAATAAAATTACAATTGGGCCCCACAGATAAGAGGAGAGATAAAAAAAGAGTGGTGGAACTCTTTTGTGTATGTAGGAAAATTGTTTCTCTTATGTAAAATGAGATAAATATAACCCTAAATGTGTTGTTAGAGAAGATTATATTTACAACTTCTTAAGTTGTATTTACAACCTCATTCTTCTTACGACCTATACTTATTTTTATGGTTATTGAGAATCAAAGTAAAATCAACATTTACAAAATAATTTATAAGAGTGATGATGATTTGATTTTGATCCAATAAATATAAAAATGATTGTAAGAGGTTGGAAGGAAAAAGATGTTGACCTTCATAGCTTTCCTGATCATAGGGTTAGAATTTTGATCTTTTTTAATGGAATTAAATTAGCATGAGGTAGGAAAAAAAAATGAGCCTTGGGTGAAATGGTTCTTTAGGTTTTCAACTTCATTCGCGAGGAACCAGAATATGATAAGATGCTGTCGTTATATGCTGACATGATATTGTTGCTGGGAAGAAACAAGATGATTGAGGAAGCTGAAGAGTTGTTTTCGGAGGTGGTGGAAAGAGGGTTGAAACCGGATACGAGGATGTGTACTGAGATGATTGGGGCGTATTTACAAGTTGGTATGATTGACAAGGCAATGGAGATATACGGATCCATGAAAGAGAATGCATTGGGGTGTTCACCTGATAAGTTGACATTTACCATATTGATTAGGAACCTTGAAAAGAATGGACAAGAAGAGCTGGCTGCTACTTTGAAACAGGAATGTGTTGACTATGTCGAATCACCCGATAAATTCCTTAAAGAAGTCGACCAAATACATGTAAGGTTTCAATCTTGTTACATGCAACAATTTGTTTTCTCTTTATCTATTTTTAAAGCATAGTGATAGCTTTATAGCACCCGGTTCTCTTTTTATTTGGAATCCACAACATTCTATTTTCCCAAGCAGTTGTGAACTTGACCTTACCCCCCAAAACTATTCAACTATGGGGTTAGCTGATTGAATAGCTTAGGGAAAATGTGCTTCAATTGAAAGAAAAAGTGGAGAACATTGAGTTGGTAAAATATGGAACTTTCAGCCACATTAATAACTGCTCTATTAATCAAAGAATTTCGTACATAGTGTGGTACCCAATCAATTCCCCATCCTGCATGAATATGTATATATTTTTCTCTGTAAATTTGTGTTTTAGAAATTTGCCTTTATGTCTTCAGGGAAGAAAGAGATATCTCAATCTTGCATGAAAATTTCCAGCAGTGGATGATGGTCTTGTTGGAGTGATGGATAGTAGATGAAACTTCATTATTGTATTGTAGTATCATTTTACTGGAGGCTGACTGGGAGCCTTCAAACTTGGAGCTTCAATTCAAACATATCTGTGATTGTTGGTGGCGACTGTCGAATTGGTGGTAATGTTGCGTGATAGGTTGCAATGGCTTAGGCATGGCAGGTAGCTATATACTGGTGATGCTGCAATATTGATATCATCTGTACTTCTGATTTTAATAATAATAATGAGGAATGGTTTTTGCGGCAGAGCTTGGCTATTATCCCGGAAATCGAGTTATTATGTTATTATTTGATCTTGGCTTGTTGAAAGAAACCGTTGATTTTCAGCTATATGCTTTGAAGCTCGTTTCGTTTTCTCTTGGTTTGTGCCACGATATATTAGCAGAGCATAGTTGTGCCTTATTTGTTGGCTTCTTGTCGTGTTACTAAACATTATATGATTCTTATTATTACACGGCAAATGCAAAATGAAAATACTTGTTGCATTGGCTTATCAAACTTTGCTCATCTCACAACACACTGCCACAAGCCTACTTGCAGCTTCAAGATAACTAAGCGAAATCATCATTTGATATAAAATCATACCAAACGGTCCAAATCATTAATATAATTGAATTTGAAACCCATGAATACAACCAAGAAATTGTCTACTAAAGATATGGAAGGCAACTATGATTGGTTAAAAAAATTAATACAACAAAAATAGCCTCTACCTCTCTATCTCCTGTTTATTTTTCTGTCCTTTACAAGATATTACAAGCAAAATACATGTGAAAATTGGTTTAAACAATTAGTTTATCTATAAAAAGCACCACACACTTCAGAATAACTAAATTACACAAAATCACAATTCCTTGCTCAGGTAGCTAAATGGCTCGGAGAGTTGTTGAACATGCTGTGCCACATAAATGCACGGGAAAGTACCATCTCGAGCTCCTGGTGAGTCCAGTTCTCAGTTGGAAGGTGTTGAAGGAACATTACCAACTCTTGAAAATCAAGCTTCTGGAGTTTGTCTGACCACTGAGAAAACAATGATAGAGATCAGAGAATATACACTTCCTACTATATAATCATTTCTAAAATATATGCAAATAATCTAAAGCAACCATACTGAAAATATAAAAAGGGATACGTAAATCACCAAATCAACCATACTTAAATGCAACAGGAGACAACGAAAGGCATAACTAGATTATGTTCTTTTAAGTGGCAATAGAAAATCAGGGAATAGATTTAAGTATAGCTAGGATGCTAAAATTTTGCACTCTCCACAAAGCAAACTTAATGCACATTAAATAACGTTCCCTCCTAGACCCTGGCAGTAACAATAAAGAATACATAAAAAGGATTAAGAAAAGGCTAAATTTCTTTAACTTCACATTCTAAATGGAACCAATGTATTGAATGATAACGGATGGGTTTAGCACTGCATAATACAACCCGTCTAAATGGAGACTAAATCTTATATCTTAACTATATAAGATGTCAACCATAATCATCAATAAACCGTCAGACAATGATGCAAGATTATACAGTACTTCGGAACCAGCAATAGCATATCAGATTATGGCTATTGGTTGCTAGTAAAGTACAAAACTCGAGTTTAACTGTAAATAACATAATAAATCACATTCCTTGTCATCTTGGCTATAGGATGAAATTTAATTCAAATAAACTGTATTAGTGCAAAGGCCAAAACATGCTGGCTCACCGTTAGAAGAAAACTGGCAAATATATACACAAGGAAGTCTGGTAAGGCATCTCCTTCAGCTAGATATGTGTCCCAAAGCCGCGTGATGAGATGGAAGGGTATCTAATTACATAAATCAGACATCAGACTTAAAAAGCATAAAATCATGAAAAATTTGTTGTAGTCCATTGTTTCTCCCCAATCAAACTAAAGCCCTTGAGACTTGATATGCAGTCAGTTATCAATTATATATGAAGTTCTTGAGAAAACTATTGCACTTATAAGGAAAAAATAATAAAAAATTTCAGAGTTAACCTCGCGGATTAGAAGACAGTTGAACCAGCGGAAAGCAAATTGAAGAAATTCCAGTCCCTGATGCTCCATATGGCTTGAAATAGGCTCTGGTGCAAGCTCAAAAGTTTCAGTATCAGATTGTATTTTGAGATATACAAATAATAATATACTGCGCCCATTTCAAATTATTAGTAGACGTAGAGAAGAAATTCTGTTTCATTTTATCTATCATTTTAGAAAAACAAGAAGGGATTTTTTTTTTTCAATTTTATCCTTATCTCTTGGTATCTTCATAAAGTGGTGAGAGGATAATTTCGTTAAATGTAATTATATTTCCTTAAAATTTAGGGTATTTAATGGCTTTTTTAATCCTTGTACAAAAACCTTAAACAACTGATAATTTTGAAAGGGAGAGAGTAACAAACCAAAAATGAAGGTTTGGTAAAATTAATACAGATGCAAATCTATATGCACAAGTGGGACATTTAAGTTAATGCAATTATAGAGATAATTTAAGAAAAGCAACAGGCCTGAGAAGAAGGTTACCATCAATCCTCCTGACCAGTTCCTTCAACTTAAAAACAAGCCTTTGAATTCCTGGTTGAGCAAATGTATAATGGTCTTGCATACCATCAAGCAACTTTGACAAGCACCAATAGCAATCAGCCTCTACATTAGATATTTTATCTGAAGATAAATCAGACATTGACCAATTATCTATGCCCCCTTCTAAGTATTCTGATAGGAAAACAACTAAAAACGGCGTAACAAGATCATTTATCCCCTGGACATATCCACTTGCAGGATGCCGAATGGCCCTGGCAAAAGATCAGGAAATCATATAAGTAAAACAATTATAATAATAAAAACCTACATTTAGTATTCAAAAATTAGTCAACAAGTATGATCCCAAATTAAAAAGCTCCAGTGTATCTATCACTGGTAAAACTTGCAATCCATCCAATAACTGCATCATGCACTTAAAATGGGAAAGCTAGATCATAAAGGTCCTTTCTGGTACTAGCATCTTTTTCCTATTTTCTTTTCTCAAGTTATTGCTCTAAACTGCTGCTAAGAAGAAACAAAAGTACATAAGACCAGAGCAATTATTCTCAGCATCTTCTGAAAGTGTAAAAAAAATGCATCTTAAGGTAACTCACACCATCATGCTGGTTCCTAATGCTGAAACTGTTTCTAGAAAGTAATCTTCTCATGGTGTCCATCAAGATTATCGTTCAGTTCAGTACAATAAATGGAACCAAATCTAGGATCAGTCTGAAATGGACCAAGTTAATACATCATACGTACCACCAGTTTATTGGAGCTTAGCAATAAATGCTACATTGCATATGCTAACCTACAGCAATAACTCATCTACTAACTATTTCAAACAAGATTGATTACAGTATCCAAAAAGCAAGTATAAGTTGCACCTTCTAAACCTTATGTAACTTTCTTCACCAAGCTAAGACCTCAGAAAAAAAATCCACAACAATGAACACTAGGCTAAAAATGATATCAGGCCCAAAAAGCAGGGTATCAGTAATATCTAACCATGTGTAAAGAATACGCTCTAGTGATTTCTGAACTTGCTGTTGCTGGAAGAATGGAACATCAGGTACAGTTCTTGGACAATCAACAGCAATCTAACAAACATAAAATGCAAGCAGTGAAAAAGAAGAACCTTATTTTTGCAAACAATCAAGATAGGCATATGTTATAGCTGAGAATACCTGGCGAAGCATGTTGATCTCATCATCTGAGCGTTCCGTATCAGGAATATCATAATAGTGAGAAACACAGTCAAGATACTCAAGTCGCTTCCTTCTCAAAACTCCCTCCCTTCTATCTGAATTAGGAGGTGCATATCCCTGTTGTCAGTTCATCTTTAAATTTCCAAGAAGAAAAGAAACTATCCATAGAAAACATGTCTGGCATGCAGTTGACCTATTTACGTAAAAATGATTATCTATAGGGTATATACTCCTCATTTTTCTTTTCAAAAGTCTTCTGCATGGTATTGTTTCAAAACAATTTTCATATAAGCAATATTAAGACCTCTTTATGAAAGAATAACTCAGCAGCCCACCCTAAAGATTTTTTTTAATTCAGATATCACCAAAATAAAATAAGTTTCCGCATATCCTAATAAATTCTGATCTCGACTCCAAACTTTATTGTTATCATGCTTCTTGTGTCTTGTGACAGATAGCTATCATGAAAGTATGTGCTTGAGCAAGACACATAGCTGAAGATCATAGAGTTTACCAAGAGAAGTCTCCACACCGTAGGACGCATATAATCTGGAACACCACTCCAAGCTAATTCACGTAATTTCTCTACAGTGTAGATTCAAAGGAAGAAATATAAGGTGTGTATCATCAGTTCGTCACTAAAAAATGGGAAACTAAATGGATGTTATTGACGAACAAGTACTTTACAGAGGATGCAAACATGAATATTAGATGCTTGACAATGAACAACAATTTGGGCCGACAATCAAGGGCATGAAAGATATCAACTTGAAAATGGGAATGCTCGCGATTTTTCTAGCAATTTATGTTGAACCCTACCAATAAAAATATCTATAGGCAAAGGCAAGACATGAGTATGTTTTATCTGGGCACACAGCTTAGAATTACATATGTTAGTTCCATAATTGGATGTGGTCATATCAGAGCAATGATGAAGAAGTCAATAAGTACCATAAAAGAAAATAGAAACACAGAAGTTAAAATACCTAATATAACCATCGTCCCAGAAAGCACCTTAGTGTATTTCATAACTCTTGCAGAATCTGTAGCTCTAGCACCCATGGAAGATTTCTGGACTTCTTCAGGCGGGTTCTCTACGAGGGAGGTTGATATTTTTAACTTATTCTCATTGGAAATACCGAATGGTTTGCTTGTACTGTGAACTTCCTCCTGTGTTAAAAGTAGAAGTCTCACTTGATGAAGTGCTACACATCAGTCTTATAGAGATATATGAGATGATCTAACTACGAAATATGAATGCTAAAATCACCTCTACTCTCTCAGATGTGTGATCACTTGTGCCAGTATCACTGTATGAGGAGCTCCTTTGGTAAGTTGGTGAGGATAAGTTTGAGTAATCTGGCGGTTCTACCCTCTGGCTCAATAATATTTTACCAGGAATGCTACGACCCTTGAGTAACCTTGACAAAGAAAGAATATGAATTTCCATCAATTGTATCCAAGGCATATATGCTTATCGTTGTAGGTGAAACCAAATATATAATGAAAAAATAAAAATAAAACTACAGTATAATTAGTCAACCCGCTAAAGAGGAAGAAAAATTAAACATGAAATACCAATTATGCAAATGCATGATATATAAAAATATTTTTTTAAGAATAATTGTCCTGTTAAGCAAAAAAATTTGTAAAAAAAAAAAAAAAAAATGCAATTCAAAGACTGACTCTCAGAAAGAATTTGGTTTATCATCTCCATTTTAACTGCAAGCAAACCTGCTGCAAATACATAAATCAATAATTGATAAGAATTAAAACCTCGATCAAGAATCCATATGTTTCCTAGCTTCCATTATCCCCGCATTTCATAGCAATAATCCAGAACACAATGAAAAGAAGCCATCCAATTTGATTTCACGGATCACATCAAAATTGGGTTCTATCAGACAAGCATGAATCATTACTAACCGTGTCATTGAATTCCACCCATCAGAACTCGTGATCTTAATCTCAAAAAAAAATTCAAAATGTTTAATGGGTTTTCTAAATCCCACCGATAAAATAATTAGCAGTTGAAGATCAGCGAATCGGGCAGCGTAATTATCGAGATCGTGAGATTTACCGAAAATGCCCTATTTTTCTGAAATCCTGAGGAAAAACTACAAGCAACTAACTTAACAGAAGAAACGAGTATTTTGTGGGGGAATTAAAAACCACATACCCTTGAACATTTCTGAGGGTCTGGTTGAATCGGGTATCGAGGATTCCTATGGTGGTGTCTTTGTTGTGCTGATGTTGTTCCCTGTTGCTGTTATCCTCGTTCTTCATGGTTGATCTGTCCGAATCCGCGTTCTGTTTTGCTTATTAGTTATTATAACTGACACTTCTTTCTTTCAGAGACTGACTAGTGTGTGCAAGTGCAAGCAACATGATGAATACTCACAAAACAAAACATCCCTAAGCTGAAACAAAATTCTCATTTTCTTTCTGTACTAATCAATAATAGTCATCTTTTTCCATCTCTTTTTTTTGGTAACATCATCTTTTTCCATCTTATTATATGAATTTTCGTCTTTGAATTAGTTTATTTTATGGTTAAAAAATTTTATGGGATAATTTTTATAAAAATATTGCTTTATCAAAATAATTTCTTTCATTCACTATTTCATATTTGTTTTGGTAATCCCTTCCTATTTTTTGTTTATATATATATATATATATATATATAGAGAGAGTTTTATAAAAGTTATGTTGTAGGAAAAATAATTATGTTATGTTCTAGTGATTCATTTTGCGTGCCGTAATTTTTTTTTCTTCAAAACATGTGAGTCCTACAAAATATTGTGTGTAAAAAAATTTTTGTGGTCATGTTAAACGACGAAAGCAAACCCCATATATATATATATATATATGAGGCAGGATCCTTTGACACCGGTGTCAAATTTGAAATTTGACACCTCATCTGATAGTCATTAGATCAAAAAAGATCAATGGCTCTGATTTGTAAGCATGTGACGCCATTGATTTTTTTGATCTTACGGCTCTCAGACAAGGTGTCAAACTTCAAATTTGACACTGATATCCAAGGATCCTACCTCATATATAAAAGTAAAGAATTTAATGGCACTGTTATGAGAATTTGCACGTAAAAATAGAGGATAAAGTTGACGAAATCACAGTAAGGTTAAGCACAGATTTTAAAAATGATTAAAAAGGTAAAGAGAGAGACAGTACAACTTTAGAAGAAGAGCAAAAAAAGGATTAAGGGGGCGTTTGGTCTACAGTTTCTTAGAAGTTAGACATGTTATTTTTGGACTTCTTTGTTTGGTTTGAGTTTTTAAAAAATTTAGCTATGTATCCATTTTGCCTAGCCATCTACTTTTGTATGAAAAAATTGGAGGAAAAAATATTGCTGAAAATACCTCTTCCAAGATAGTATTTTCAAGTTGCTTAGGCTAATGGGAGAAAGTGAACACATGTGGATGCCAAAAATACCCTCTTCTATTAGACAATAGTGTTTGCTACAAGGGTTATTTTATAATTTGAAGTTATTTCTTCATCTATATTTTACCTCAAACTAAACATAGACTTTATAAATCTTACCTAATTTATCCGGTAAAATGTTTTCTAACCAAACAACTTTTTTTACATTTTCCTACTAAACTCACTTTTCAACCATTTCCCTATCAATTACATTTTTCTAATATTCAAAAAATTTCTCCTCGACCAAATGCCTCCTTAACATGTGTCAAGGAAAGACAGATGTTTGACATGCATCTTTTATTACGGTTAGTTTTATTAAAAAATTTACGTACTTACGCTACAATTTGATGTTGAGTGAAAGTAATGACTATCAAATTACAAATATTACCGCTCACCCAAATAAAAAAAAAAATTACAAATATTACCTCTCCAAAATGCAAGTAAAAGATTGTCAATTTTATTACACATCTTCTGTTGTATATCATACGAGAAATATTACTCTTCTTTCAAATAAGATAATTAGTTATCTTATGTGATAGAAAGAAAATAGGTGGTCGCCTACCACTAAAAAAAATATGATACAAAAATCACAAGAAAAATTATCTCCAAACGAGTAATAAAGCACATATTGTATTCATGATATTTTTAAGCAATTTTATTTTTTTTTTTGGAAATATTCCAATCAGTTCATTGCTTTGTAACTAATCCGATTCGGGGCGGGTCTAAGATTAAGACTTTAAACCCCTCCCAAAGATAGTATTAGAGATATTCGAACACATGCTCTCACCTCAACCTGCTTAGCTTTCATGTGTCAACTGTACTACTCCCATTTGATATCTTTAAGCAATCTTCAGTTTGCATATTAGACGTGGGGCTTTTAAATAGTCATATATTTTAAAGAGAAATCATAGTATGCAGTTGCAATAAATTTAATTTGTCTCCTGCTCTCACCATAAAAAACCATGCATCCTTTTTTGTTTTTTGTTTTGCAGTAGCATAACAAATATATTACCCTTTTATATTTAGGTGGGCTCCACCATTTTATCTGTGTGACGGAGAGAAACGGTCCTTTCTGTCGTAGGAGAGCCTTCAACCCCTATTTTAAGGAAATATTTAATATGATCCAGACTCATTTATGATTTAGTGGTCCAAGTTAATAAAAAATAAGTATTTTCTGAATTGCTTATATGAAGGAGAGAATTTTTTTTTTTTTTTTCTCAAAGTAACTGCTCCTCAATGAAGGAGTAAGTGTGACAGAATTACAATAAATACTCTGCTATTTTAAATTGGTATTCTGGAACTTTAAAATGCAACGTTGATTTATATAGTTTTAGTTGCATATGAAGGACTAAGTGAATTAGTATTTGAATAAATTTTTATAAAATAATATTTTTATGAAATAATTTTTCTATTTTTTTGGAAAAAAAAATACTAACTATTTTAAGTTTTAAATTTTTAAAAAACGTATTAGATTATCATGAAAATTTTAAAACATTTTTGATAAAAAAATAGCTCAAACAAACTAGGCATTTTTCCGAGCATTTCTTTTGTTCACTGGTTTTCAGCCCTTGCTACAGCCCATTGCAGTTCACGGTAAAGGGCCCAAAAACGCATTTACAGTGAAATACGTATCGGTAACCCGCATAATTCAGAATCCAATTTTCTTAGTACCCAAGATGGAAATAAAATGTAACTCATACTTCATATATCCAATTTGATAAATGTTCATAGTACACGAAAAGAAACACAATTTGTGACCCCGAAAAAGTTAAGCAGGTATGCAAGATTACATTCTGTATACACAATAATACATCTACGAAGCAAACAGCAGCATCCTGCAGATTCAAAGCAAACTCTGACATGGTATAATGTAGGGATGGTGTCTTATTATCAGACGATTCCGCTTCCAGTAAAATCAAGAACTAGTCCATACAAAGTAAAACAGCAAACTGAACTTAAAATCCTGGATATACATGACTTCAGCAGCTTCAGTATCTTCATTTGGAATGCTGCTGTTTCTTCTTTTGAATATATTTGGACTCCCTCTAATAGCGCAAAATAAATTGACCACATCATTGCTTGGCGTCATTTCCCCAAACATTGTCCCAAGAACCAGTTGGAGCAGCCTTTGCTGCCTCAATATAGTTTACATTTTCAGAGGAATTGTGTGGTCCAGGCAGTGGATGTCCATTTGGACCTGGCGGGTTAACCTTCTTGGACTTAGTTCTAATCCCAAGCAACCGTAGCGCAAATCTAGCCAGCTCTCCATATAATAATCCAGAGCGATCAAACAGCTGCAACAGAGACCAAGTAATCATCTAAAATTAAAATATATTCTTAACACTTCCTAGATCTGGCAAATCGTGCAAAGAAAATAATGAAAGTTTAATAGCTAACTGCTATATTAAAATAAATATCACAAAAGGTACACAGAGTCCATTCCTGTGAAATAACACATTCATGAATCAGTGTGTGCTTTAATTAGATTGTTTGGTAACTTTTTATGAATTGTGTGTTTTTCAATAGCAGGTAGGAACTTGCTTTTGGTTTTGCCAGAATATACTATCATTCCTAATACATGACCAAACTACACCTTAAATGTTGTATTTAAAGACAAACACTTCTATACCCTTTTCCATGATTTGACGCCAAAAATGATTTTTTCTAACAATATCCAAAGGAGAACAAATTCACAGAGAACCTTTTAGACAACTTTCAAATACCCAAACAACAAAAGGATATCCAAAAGAAAAAAGAAAAATCTTCCAAAACCTAATATTGTATAAGTGATCCTCCGCAAAGCAAAAATTTCACAGCAATTAAAACACACAGACAGAGCATATACGATTTCATTTTTCACTTTAATAATTAATATCAATCTTCAAGCAGCTGTAGGAGCTGGGTATGCAATTAGCAAATAAAAAAAATAACATAAAATGGAAAGAGAATGATGAACACGAAACCTGGAGAAGTGCAGTCATGAACATATGGAAGGCCTGTGTGTTCTGATCAATGAGTATTGCTATCCGGCCAAAAAAGTTAACCACGCCTTGCATCTGTCATGAAAGGGAAATGAGTTCAACATATGCAAAGTTTTGAACAACAGATAAAAAAAAATCATATTCATATTAAAAGAATCCAAAGGGAAAAAAAGAGAGGAGAGAGGCAACAGTAGAATATGATGAGATTAAATAGAGAACACAAAAATGTACTTATATACAAAATCCATTTTCCTATGCTGCTTTCATACCCAGGTACTTCTAAGTACAAGATGTCTCATAACAGAACTATTATCCCCGACTAAAAAGATTGACATTATCCCCGTTACTGTTGCATTTTGTCTCACATGGCTCACAGGCACTCTTAACTAATACTATGACTGAAACATGCGAATCAAATTCTTTTCGCACAGTAACATGCAAAACAAAATAAATTGTACTAAGTAAAGTTTAATCAGAAAAAGAAAGATAATTTGATCTCAAACCATCACAAATATGAAATAAGTAGTCAGTTGTAAACAACTATGTGAATTAACAATCCAGTAAACCAACATGGGAGAAAAAAATTCCATAGTACACGTTCATCAATCATCCCTACGGAAGAAAACTAAATTAGCCAAAGTATCATATGGCTCACCACACGTAGAGCAGAAATCCAAAATCCTGGCGGGGATGGAGGGGCACCATATGGATTATTGGGATCTTGATCTCCATAAGGACCACCACCACCCATGCCATAACCACCCATTGGACCCCCAATGCCACTGTTATACATTCCACCCCCGTACATCCCAGATGACCCATAAAGGCCACCACCATATCCTCCTCCCCTGTACATATTGTTACCATACATTCCACCACCATATGACCCTCCCATTCCACCATAAGAAGATCCATACATTCCAGATCCATATCCAGAATTATAATTATTCAGTGTAGAACCATATCCTGCAGATTATAAGAGAAAAAAAAATAGATTCATCAAAATAGGAAAACAAGGGAAAAAACTTTAAACGATAAAAAGGCTACAACATGACAGTTTTTTTGTTTTGTTTCTAAAAGCAAAAAAAAACAATAAACAAACACCTCCATAGCTGTTATTTCCATAATTCTGTTCCCATGGCCTTGTGGGAACAGGCCTCCCAAGAGCATTCCTGTTGATAGTTGCTGCATTCCTATCAGTACTAGAAACAATATCCCCAGGTTTTGCAGTCCCCGAAGCCTCAACTACAGCACTTGTGGCGCCAGCTGATGGGGGTTTAAAAGGAGCTGGGCCAGATGAGGAACCCGCTTGTTCCCAAGGTTTTGTTGGAGGTCTATTTGCTGCAACACAAATTTATTTACACAATGAAAATGTTGGGTAAAATTTAGGATAATGAAGTGTAATTTGTAAAGGTTCTAGCATCATACACCGCGTGCTTCTTACCATGGCCTGGAAGGCCTTGATTTATCATATCAGGTATGAAAGAAACAAGAGACTACACTCCCCACCGAATAGGAGAGTTTTCATAAGGTGTGTGTAGAAGTGAAGTTATGCTGTTTCATGGCAAGAATCTGTGTTTGACTATAAAGGTTTCCAATTGGGTGACATTTTTTTTTTTTTAATAAATAAATAAATGAAGGGCTTGGTGTTTGTCATTTTAAATGACATAAGTTGTGTCATTTTATTGGTGATTTTTTTTTTCAATTTAAAATTTAAATAAAAAAAAATTTCTGTATCTATCTCTCTCTTAAAATCAGATAATTTTATGTCATTTAAAATGACAAACACCTCTCCCATAAATGAACCCTCCAAAACTAACGATCTTCAGAAAAAAAAAATAAGAATATAATTCAAACATGATTCAACTCTGAGGCGAACAAAAACTAAACTTATTCATAAAGAAAAACAAATATACAATTCGTGAATGATGTTCACGACAATAAGACACAGATCGACGTGACGAGCAGGAGCGAAAATAACAAGTCAAATTGATTGTTAAGGATGTCGGATGCCTAGGTATTTAGGGCTCCGATAATAATTTATCGATAAGGAGACGAAATGCAAACCCTAACGGAAAAATTAGCGGTGAATAATATAAATTGTATAATCTATAGTCATGGCTAATTAAATAAATCTGGAAGGCGAAACCAGGATTAAAAATTAAAGGAGAACGAACCTGATGGTTGGCGCTTGGGATCCATGGGAATTGCAGGGAAATACCATACAATTCAATACAACCTCTTCTTCCTCTCTCTCTCTCTCTCTCTCTCTGAAGCAGCTAAGCGATTTTTATTTTATTTTATTTTTTTGTATATAGCTAAGCGATTTTTGCTATCATTGTTTTGTTTTGGCCTTACAAGGAGAAGGAGGTGGCTATTTGGCAGCACCTCCAGAGTGGGCCCCAACACCATTCAACATTTTAAACCAATATTGTTAAAATCGATCCGGTCATTGATGACGTGGCTATTTGGAAGCACCTCCAAAGTGGGCCCCAACACCATTCAACATTCTAAACCAATATTATTAAAAGCGGCCGGTTCGGTCGATGTACTCGGTCATTGGTTCAATCAGTAGATCACTGATTTAATCGCATGATCCAGTAATTATATGTAATTTTATAATTTATATTAAAAAATTATAAACATAATCAAATATTCAAAAAAATAAATATTTCAAATATTTTAATATAAAAAATAATAAATCACATATTATTATCCAATAAGGGCCTGTTTGGAGCACCTGACAAGGAAGATAGGATAGGATAACTTATCATATCCTACTTTTATCTCTTGTTTGGTGGGTCAATAGGATATGATTAGTTTATCCTATTGCTTCATTTTATCCTATCCAATACATGATTTCTTATCCTATGGGGGGAGCTGGGTTAGGATTCAATAGGATAGCAATATTTAATATACAATATATCCTCACGTTACCCAATATCCTCACTCTACCCAATATATTTGTATTTATTGCATTATATTTTATTTTTTATTTTTCTTTCTCTTTTTACATAATCTTATCATATTCCTAATCAGGTGCTCATCAAACACAGGATATGATATAGGTTTATCAGCCTCATATCATATCCTACCCTTATCAGCCCCATATCATATCATACCCTTATCCTATCCTGTCCACCAAACAAGCCTTAAAGTATCAAGCAAATATATAATGATCGTGATACAGGACTTTAGATTCAGAAAATGACATCTCTAACTATAAATCAAATCAAAATTTTCTGCATAGTACATAATTGAAATAATATTAGTGTTGTAGGTACATAACTTATGTAAGTCAATAAACAAAAAAAAATATTCAAATAGGTCCATTATGATTTTTTTTGAAAAAAAATTTGGATTTTTTTTTTGGGACCGGGCTGGGTCATCGCTTAACCGAACGGGTCACCGATTTTCATGAAAACCGGCCGGATCAGATCGGGTCGCATCGATTTTGATGCATGGTGGGTCCATTGCTTCAACCGGACCGGTTATATGACTGATTTATCGATTTCCGGGTCGACCCGGTCGGGTCGGTCCGATTTTATTAATAGTGTTCTAAATGCACCGTTCTTTTTTTTTAAAGAGTAAATATCCCTTTTGGTCCTTAGCAAATTTTACGATGTCCGCTTTAGTCCCTAACAAATAAAAAGGCCCATCGTGGTCTCTAAGAAATTCAAAATGGATCCATTTTAGCCTTTTTAGGGACTAATATGGGTCTTTTTTGAATTTGTGAGAGACCACGATTTCAACTAAATTGGTCCATTTTGAATTTCTTAGGGACCACAATGGGTCTCTTTATTTGCTAAGGACTAAAGCGGATATCGTAAAATTTGTTGAGGACCAAAAATGGTATTTACTTTTTTTTTTTTTTTTTTTTTACACGTATTGGGTTACTGTTTGGGAGCGCGTTCCAAGCACAACAACCTTTGTGCTGACTGCGTCACGCACCATTGCCACGAATTTTCTCATTGCTGCCCCTATCCGCCTAAATTATCAAATATTCATTATATTAACAATCCTTTGAGCATTTATTATAAAATTGATAAATATGAGAACTATTTATTACGTTACCTTTGAGCATTTTTGAAAAGAATTTTTTTATTTTTACTTTTTATAAATCACAAGTATCCTGAGGGCTGAGGCAATCCTGTTCAGAAACTTTTTTGTATTTATGTATTTAAAGAAGAATTTCTGAGGAAAAAAAATTAATTGATATCACGTATTCTACAATTTTTCTATGTAATAAATAGAGAAAAGTTTTCTTAGTTCCAATTTTTAAATAAAGATAGCACATTCTACAATGTGTATTTAATAAATGGGTTTAATATTTTTATTTTTGCTCTAAAAAAAAATTATGTCACATTCACATAAAGATGAGTGACAAATTTATGTGAATATGAAAGAGAAAAAAATTTCGTAGCAAAAACATAAACATTTTTCCTTAATAAGTAATTTATTCATAAAGCAAGAAACAAAAGATGATTCAATTTTTTTACTGAGTTGATTTATTTTGTAAAAATAAATACACCAATTTTATCAAACATAACTTCTAATTTTTTTTATTCTCATATCTATAGATTTAATTTATTTTCTTAGAAGAATTAATTTCTTTTATACTTATTATATTTTGAAAAAAGTCTTAGTGCAACTATAGAAAATGTACTTATAAACTAAAAGGGATTACTTCAAGTGATACATGTTTGATTTCGGTCAGTTCTTAAGTTTAAGTTTTTTTGAATATAAAAAATCTTTTTTAGAAGAATTACTTTTTTATGATACGGATGTTCCCGGTTGAATAAGATTACTCTCGTAAAAGATACGTCTATTTTAAAAAAAATACAAAAAATTGTACTTATAAATTTGGGTCGTAGAATCAGCATAGACCCAGATAGTCAATCTCATCCTCCACTAGATCTTATACATTGCACAAAGTTTATAACATGTTTTTTATATGGGCTTAACATTTCTGCAGCAGCCGTAGATAGTGTTATCTACAGCTGACACAGAAAAGTGGGTCCCACGGCTTTTTTAAAAACAAAAAAAAAAACTCAGGATCCGTTATCGTATCCTAGGATTCGGACGTGTATCCTTGTTTGCTGTAAGTACAGAAATCATTTTGTCTTTTTATATATATTTATAATCATTTACTAGTTACATTATCTCATGAGATATCTATAAAATTACAAACTGAGCTTACAGCACTGCAGAGCTATTTACCTCGGTCCTAACTACTACTAAAATTCTGTGCTGCTGCTATGCTGACATATAAGAACTATATATTTAACATGCAAGTGCTCCCATATACGTTGTTATCTTTCTATCTTCCAAAAAGCCACTCAGAAATGAATCTTTGCAACTGGCATAAGTGGCTAACAAAATTTAAACTCCTCCACATTCAGAACCCTCATAAAGATTGTGAAAAATTAACAAAATCTTGTGAAAGCAAGACTTTAATTGTGATATTGAAATCATCCATCATCTGATGTGCTATGAGTTGCCAGAGCAATGGAAGGCATATCACGAACAAGAAACCTCACAATACGTTTTCCAATATCATCCAATATATCTATACACTCTTGCAAATCCGCATCATTCACCAACATCACCCACTCTTCTTCATCATCTAGATATTTGAGCTGGAATGACCCATTTTGTAATTTGAATCTTGCTGCAACTTCTTCATATAGCTTGAAACAACCTGCGGACGGATCAAACTTGAAACGAATGGTGTCTTCTCTATAGGTAGCTTTGACAATAATTTTTGAATCACTATCCACAATGGTTGATATGACTTTAGAATGCTTCTGGTTCTCAAAGCTCTGAGAACTTGACGAATAATAGTCATGCATCATTGAACCAGAGCCATTAGATGAGTTTGTCAAGCTTGAAGAAGTATGGTGGTGATGTTCAAGTTCAACAACCCCATCATCCCCATCAACACCAATGTCCATCTCATAAGCCATCAAGCGTTTAGATTTTTCTAAACTCAAACCACCCTTGTTCAGAACCCATTTATCACCTTCTTTTGCAAGAACAGAACCCAAAGAAGCTTGTTCAGGACAATCCATTGCCACTGATTTTGAATCTTCACTACAATCAACTGAAGAGGCATTGGTTTTCTTCAATTTTCCCTCCAACTTAATAGTCGAATTCTCACTGTCACTACAAGGTGCAGGCAGTACTGAGACTGCATCTTGTGTAACAGGCCCTTGGTCTTTTATAGTACACTTTTCAGGGAAGAGAAGACTTTTATGTGCATCAGTTTCTTGGATGATTGAACCTCCTGCCACGAACGCCGCCATTCGAGGATCAAACTTCAACCCTCCTTCCACTCCATGGACAGAGTCAAGCACAGTCTGAATTTTCTTCAATGAATGATTCACTTTATTAATCTTGCGGGATGGCCATCTTGAAATTCCATGTTGCCTGCATATCCTTTTCAGAGTTGTTGGGCAAACTGCTCAAAGAAGAAATTTATGTTAAGAACAAACTTGATTCAATTAACCAGAATTACCTTTTGAGAAATGTTGAACATCTTCTTTGCACAATGAAAGGGCAGGGACTCTTTGTTTAAGATTCAACCGTTGTAATAAATGTTATCAATTTAAATTGTTCTCAATAAGGATGTTATTGAACTACACTTAGCTTTAAAACTAGCATACCGCAAATCTCACTTTGAAAACCCCTCTCATGTTTCTTTCAATATAATTTTGACAATTCAGTGCTGCTTAATACAAAGGTGTAACATGCAATCAGCAGCATTTAAAGAGTTCCATCATAAAATACTCATTGAATTGCATTCATTGTTTTCCCAACTAAGTAATAACTAGAGAAGAAAAATGAAATCCTTAATGGTATACAGTTCAAATGATAGTAAAAATGCAGTATCTCATACCAACTAACATCTGCCATCATAACCCAAAATATATAAACCATGTCATTTAATATACAGAAATTAGCACAAATAACGTTGGAGTCTAACCACCAATGCTTTTTGCAGCATCCTTCAGACTACCAGAAAAGTACTGTTGGAGAACACTCAAGCTAACATTCCTCTCTGATGTGCTTCTCTTTTTCACCTGTCTTCTTGATCCATTTCTTTCCTACAGGACAAAATCCTACAATTGTTAAAGCTCAATTTCAGGAAACATAAAAATTGTTGCACCATAAATAATTTACAAAGATGATGCATAAATTATATTTGAGTTTTTGCCACATTAGTATACTCCTTTATAACATACACCAAGTGTGATGGGAATTCAGTATTTTTGTTTCCCTGTCCTACCCCATTATTCACATTCACTTATAACAAATCCTTCCTCAGAGAGAGCGACAACTCCTTAACAATGGTTAACACTACAATATCTTAACAATGTTTATTGTGTCATTAGGAAATTCTTCTTGGTTAAGTAAATAATTACCAGAAATATATGAATACTATGAACTTAAAAAAGCTTATCACATACTGAATATTATTTTTCTGAATAATACTATATATGGGTTCAATCTATTATATAAATCTAACTAAATTATTTGCCTAGAATAATGATTTATCAACTGGAAACAGAATATTTACAATAATTACAATGATATACAGTGAACATTACACGGTAAAGAATAGGAAAAGATGTGGAACTATTACAACATTAGTGATTCATTTAAGGAGGAAAGTAATTCACAAACTTAAACATTAACAAGAACATGCTACCACAATGTTTGCAAGATAATAAAATTCATTCCTCAGGGTCAAAGAATAGCAGATGCACCTGGGTACGAGAAGGCTCAATTCCATTGTTTCTCAGGTTCGATGCCTTCAATGGCGTCTTCCGGATAGAATCATGGTTAACATTTTCCTTTTCAAACCCCGCTTGTGAGCATTCTATTCCAGGTACTTCAGTTTCTGAAACTGTCCTCAAACTCCTACAAATTCTCTGCATGGTACTTGAGAGGTTGTCCAATAAAAGTTGTTGCTCTGAACTCCCTCTCATACTGACAGGCAGAAAGAATTCCAATATGTAATCATCATCATTAGTGTAGGTGCTCCTTAGCTTAATTGCAACCGCAGCATTCAAATTATACTTGCGTGCATGATGGACAAGTGGATATTCACAAATATCATACGCCTTCACATCAGGAAAGAAGAAAGGATGATTGGATTGAAGAGCTTTCCCGGCTAAACCTTTCCCTTCCTCAAGTTGATGTTCAATGCATGCATGAACAAATCCTTCCATCGCTCTATCAGTTATATAGCAAGCTGATTCCTCGATGCACAATATGCTTTTTTCACCAGAACTTGATTGACCCTCTTTAATTCGAATATTTGTTGCTCCACCTCCTGTGTCCTCAGTGTAATAACAGGGAATCCATGTCAGTGCCAGGGGCAATCTATGTGCATGACATACAGATCGTAACACATCAACTATCTCTGTTAAAGCAGCTCTTTTGTTATTTGAAAGACACTGCAGAAAAAGAAGATATATATTGTAAGAAGTGCAAAAATCCAGATAAAACCACATCTCAACCCCCCTTCCCCAAAACTCATTTCAAGATTTTTAGCTTGCTTTTTTCCTGCCTTTCACTATGGTGAGGAAAAATCAATAGGAAAAAAAATAAGGTTTAAGCAAATACCTCGGGAAGCAATCGAAGAGGCAAAGTAGTCCTTAAATTTACAAGCTGCAGAAAGTCATGATAAATACATATATCATTACTACCTTCAATTGTAATATAATGTGCAAACTCATAAAACATAAAAAAGAGGTTACTTTTTCTAAGCAACTAAAGAGTGCACAGCTATAACTGAATTGGCTGAGATGCATGATGGTCTTTGAAAGATCTTGGCAAAAGTCAAAGTTGTTTCTCAATCAAATGAATACAAGATGCATTTTGAAATGACTCAAATACTCAAGTATGTGCCCTATTATAGCAATGAATATTGCTGTTTTCTTTTACCAATTTTGGCAATGATCCCTAATGGGACCACAGGAAACATGAATACACCATACACAACAATAGAAATTACTACTGCATGCCAAAATGCTCCTCAATCATGATGTGAGAACAACATCAAATATCTTGAGTATGGACCAATGAACATACAAGATACTTTGTCAGGCAAACTAGAAAGTTCACCATGATAACTTTGTATTGAGACATCCAAGTCCCGAATGGTGATGTGAGAACAATAATAAGTCCCAAATAGTGTAACAAATATCTGCCAAACAAATTTCCAAATATATTTGTGTGTTGTTGTGGGCTAAATCTTTGCCCAAATTCCTTCAATCCTTCTCAAATCAAGGCAACACACTTCCAGATATATTCTTATAATAGAAGATCAATAAATTGAGGATAAGACAAATTCTGAACTGTACAGTGAGAAGCAGTGAGACAGGCAAAGTGCAGAAAGGGAAGTTATGTTGGGAATAGCAAAAGAAAAACCTACCTGGAGTGCACGGCAAACAACTTCCAATTCTCTGTCAAAATCAGGCTTTTCCTTTTTAGTGACTAGTTCCAGTACAGCACAGCATGGCACTTCAGAGTGCAGATCGAATATGGGAAAAGCAATTGATCCACGAACCTCATGATGAATTGCATGCTCAACCCTCAAGTACTCACTCTTACTGTAATAACCAACATTGGAAGTCCACTCAGGAACTTTGGAGATAAACACACGACCAGGAAGTCCTGGGAAACTACGTGAATTTCCTCCTGCAGAAAATGTAAATGTCCTTGACACTTCACGATACCCTGCAAGCAATTGGTCTAGCAAATAAGGTTGCTCGCTCGTGCTTAAGACAAATTGATCACCATGTTGTATGGGAACCCAAACTTGTGCCAATATTCCACCACCAGCTGATTCCTTAAAGAAAGACAAAGCCTTAAGCATTCTCTCATCAAGTGACAAACCAGGTGGCCTAGAAATTATGTGATTGCCCATATCAAAGGTATTAAGATGTTGAGAAGGGCCATGAATTTTTTGCTTATAATTTAAGTTATTTGCATCATTTGTGTCATCTAAGAAACCAAGTAGGGTGTCCATTTGCTGAAACACTAACTTCTCTCCATACGTGGGGGAGCTTTCCCTATCATTGTAATTTCCACCAACTCCATTCATAAAGAATTGCTCACTGTTTTGTTCCACCGGATTGAATTCACCAGGCGATGGATATGGTAGTGAGGCAAATGATGGAAGCCCATTAGCCAAAAGTTGATCAGTCATGGATGGGCTATTGCACAAACCAGCATAAGTATCAAAGTTCATGAGCTCGGAGAAGCTGTTAGGCAAATCCTCTGACATTGAATTGCTCATTCTACCATCTAATGATGTTGATCCTTCCAACTGAGCTCTAGGTGATTCCCAAAGCTCAATTCCTCTTCCCTTAGGGGGAAAAGGGTATTCCATACTTAGGTTGGAGATCAAAATTGATTGAAATTTAACCAATTTTAGTGTTCCTCTCTGAGTCTGTGTAAAAATTTGCACAGGACGTTGCTTCCCTGTTTACCATTATTCTTGAAGCCTGTGAATTTGCATACTCAAATCAGCTACCTTCATCATCAAGCAAACTAACATAAGCATAACCCCAAAAACAAAATTTCCAAAATCAAGAATTAGCAAAACAATTTTTGAAAAATTCTGCGGATATAAGCATGTAAGCTTAGCACTGTGGAAGCACATGCTTAGCAGAACACAGGTCATTAAATCACAACTCAGCTAAAATTTAAAAATAATAATAATAATCAGAACTCCTCAAGCGAAAACTTAAGCTGCATAGGAAAAACATTGCTCACGTTAAACTTGCTCCTGCCTAATAGAAACTTGCAAGGGGGAACTTTTCCAGGAAAACAAAAATAGGATTCTAATATGAATATTTAGAATTTGGTAATTACACTGAGCACTGCCGTTGAGCAGATTTAAAGTCCTCTACATATTAAATATTAAGCTAACATTCATCTTTCTAACTCATTTTCAACCATCTTCACCACTAAAAAAAATCCACTCCCACACTTTAAATGCTGTCTCTGAAGCTAGAGAGGATCAGAATTCAGCAATAACAACTTAAACCCTGCAGTTCCCATACTTCAAAGCTATGCATCAAAGCCCCAAAGAGAGAGTTTCAATCTCACAAAAGGCACAATTGATAACATGTGACGTAAACAAGAAGCCACTAAAAAGCTAAAAAATTTAACTCAAAAACAAGGAAACTAGGGTTCCCAAAAACCTGAATGTTGAGCATCTAAACTCCAAAGGAAGTACAGGGAAAAGGCATAAGATAAAAAAGGGTAGAGAATTTGTGAAGCTTGTCAACGATTGGCAAATAGTTTTTACGTGAACAGTTAACAAAAAGGAAAAAAGAAAAAGAAAAAAGAATAGCTTGAAAATTTACAAAGAAAATTGAGAATTGCCAATATATGAAACCTAGAAATGACTTTATTAGTTAGGACAGCTAACGAATCAATCACCGACCTCAAAATCCCCGAACATGAAAAAATCTTTGTCCATAAAATTCTACGAAACAAGGGGGCAGCTCTGAAGTGGACACAATGATAGTTTAAATAAAGTGGAACAGTAGGTTTCTATAAAAGGAAAGAAATGCACAACTCAAAAGTTAACTCGTTGGAAATAAGTAACCAGAGAATCGGTTACTAAAAATGGCATGACGGTGTTTCCAAGCCGTTTCGTACGGCGTGCTTTACTAAGCCAATTCTCATCAGTTTCGTCGGGTCGGACTTTATTTTTTTATAATTAAAATAAAATATTTTAAAATGTTTTTCTGTGTTTTTTATTTCTTGTTGAGATTTATGAAACTACAAGTGGCATTGCTCTCGTGGAATCTCATAGATGAAAAATCATATTTAAGAGAGAGAAAAATTAGAATCTATACAGGTGACATGTGACTGACATATGAACTAAGATTCTTCACAATAATAATACTAATAAGAGAAGGGTTATATTGACAAAAAAATTTTTACAAATTTATAAATTATATTATGTCTTGCCGAACAAACTTCACTCAATACTGTCTTACCAGTTAGTATAATTTGTAAACAAAAAATTTATAAATATAACATTCTCCTAATACTAATGTGTCGATACTTTAGGTCAACTTTTAACTTAATTGAGATTAATTATTTTCTTAAACAATTTTAAGATCGCATACCTTTTATATTAGTATTGTATACTTGGAAAAATTACTTACTTAAATTTTTTTATATTATTAACACAATGAACATGAGTGGTTAGCTATTAGCTAATTAACTCTTGAATTAATTGAAGAAATTTAATTTATTAATGTATAAGCAATTGACATGAACTTCTTGTAAAACAAACCTAAATTTGAAGATTGGTGTGCAAGTGTATCAATCATTTCATTGCATTAAGAATAACCCCTTTCTAAATTTTATTTATTTATTTATTTATTTATTCAACGGACTGATCAATCATGAAGAACCTATAAGGTGAAATAAAACAATATTTTATTAAAACATACAAAATTCGATTCATATTAACATATATTTCATGCATTGCAGGGTATTTTTAAATTTGAATAAAATTTAAAAAGTAAATTAAAGTTTTTTAAGAAAATATTTTACATTAAAATTATATAATTAATTTAATAAAAACAAATTTAAAATGAATCTGTCATCATTTAAAATAATAAATTAAAAATATAAGTTAATATTATATTCTAATTTAATATGTTTAGATGTAGATTAGTTATAAAATAATTCGCAGGTTTTTTATAATAAATTTTCAATTTGAAAAATATTTGTGATTTTCTGGATAAGGATGCTGTTGTAAATGCAACAATTAAACAGATAAAAAAACAAAACAGAAAACAGAAAAAAATATATTTATGAGTAGATGATGAGGCTACAGATATTCATGGAGAGGCGGAACGCGTAAGTAAGGCATTGGGATTTGGGACTATGGAGCACGAACCTTTGAATCAAGGGCGATTGGACTTAGGATAGACATTAAATTTGGGATTTCAAATCTTATTTTTCTTCTTATACGTATTTATTCGATTTAAATTTTTATAGCAGCGAATTTGTCAAAAAAAAGTTGATGAGTTGACTTTACTGAATTAATATAGGCATTCAATGCTACACGTATAGGATTTTGAGATTCCGTAATGGCATGATATAAAGCACGATTATTTTAGTAATAGGTGTTGAAAACCAGTATGGTTAAAATTGGACCGGCCAACAGATCACATTTGGACCTCATTGATTCGGTTCAATTAAGGGATTGGTTGTGCAGTTGAAGGGTATGAAATCAGATTTAATCAGTATAATTTTTAGAATTTTGATGCAAAATATTCGATAAATGATTAAATCATCAACCACTAAACCATAGCACTTTATTAATTATGTTATAACTTTTATTATATATTTTATATGGGAATGAATATCATGTTAAAATTTCACGAGATCTATTCTTTCGATTCAACTGATTGAATCAATAATTTAATATCTTGATTGAGTCTATAACTGGATAAGAATTTTGATGGTCCTGGACCACCATTAATTCAGTGATCCAAACCTATTAGAATGAGACAACTATTAAAGAGAGAGGAGAGAAGAGAAATAAAAAATAAACTTTTGTACAAGTATCACTTACTGAATAGAAGGACCACATAAGGCCTGGAGCACCAAATTTTTTTCCCTATAACTGAATCGATTTTAATAATATGGTATGGTTAAAAACCAATTATATCCTCTCACTAAGGATGGGAATGTCAATCATTCTGTTCCTTGGCACTATTTATGAAAATAAACAATTCTTTTCTATTTCTATGTCTTGGAACAGTTTTTAAGAAGAAAAAAAAGTGTTTGATAACATGTTCTATTTTTATTCCAAGAATAAGAATTGCGTTTGATAACACAACAAATAATATAATAAAAAATAATTCTTATTAAACATAAAAAAAATTTGGATCATCACTTTTCTTTTTATATAATGATGGTGGCAGCGGCGGAGGTGGTGTGGTGGTGGTGGTGGTGGTAATGGTGTTGATGGTGGTTGCATAGTCGTGATGGTCGCGGCAGTGGTAGTGGTGGCAATGGTGGTGGAGGTGACGGCAATGGCTACGACGATGGTGATGGCGGTGGCGATGACGTGGTGATGGTGGTGACGACAGTGGATGCGACATTGATGGTGGTGGTTGGTAGTGGCAGTGATGACATGGTGGTAGTGGTGACAACAGTGGCTATGGCGATGGTAATGGTGGTTGGTGACGGTGGTGGTGATGGTAATAGTGGTGGTAGTGGTAGCGATAGTGGTGGCGGTGGCGGCAGTGGCTACAATGATGATGGTGGTGGTTGGTGATGGTGGTGATGGCAATGATGATAGTGGTGGTGGTGGTGGTAATGGTGACATGGTGGTAGATATGGATGGAGGCGGTGGTGATGGTGGGAGTGGCATGATGGTGGTGGTGGTGGCGGTGATTACGACGATGGTGGTGGTCGTGTCGGAATGATGGTGGTGGTGGTGATGATGGTAGAGGTGGAGAGTGATTGAAAGAGACAAGTGTTTCTCATTTTGTGCCCGGGAACAAAAAAACAGAAGTTTTTTTATTCTTTTTTTCTGCTCCCTAGCATAAAAATTAAATCGGTTCATCCCGAGAACAAAAAAATCAATTGATTTTACCAAACGAGTTTCTTATCTATTTTTGTTCCCGAAAATAAAAATTAAAAAAGAACTTATTCTGGAAAGATTGCGATACGCACCATGTCCTATTCAAAGTTAATTGAATGCAGTTTGACGTTTAAAAATTAAACTTTTTTGAAAACGTTACATTAACTAACATCCGTTGTACAATTTGCTTCTCTTAAACATGAGTGACCTAAACGTTGCATACAATCCAGTCATTATAATATTCAATGAACCTTCATTCTCCACAAATTCAGATTCTTTAAAGTTACTTTATATATGCATATCTTCTATTAAATTAAAATAAAACATTTTGTTCGGTTAAGCTAAACAAATATGACAAAAGACAAATTTGAATTCTAATCCTTTATATAAGGAAAAGAAATTTTGTTTGCTGCGAACTTAATTGATCCAAAATTAAAAAAAAAATTCAGTTTTATGGTCCTATAAGATTCTTGGTTTTATTTTATAAACGAATTATCTAATGAGTTATTTATGAACCTGGGTCAAATTTATACAAATATTTATAATTTACTAATCATTACCAATTAAATTCTCGAATATTAATAACAACTTACAAACTAATATAACTAGTTCAAATTATATCACAACCAGAACTTAACCAATTAATATATTTGATGTTTTGTTGGAAAAAATGATTTAAATGTTCAAAATTTAAATATGTCATGAAATGAACGTTTAAGCTTTGGCAAATCTCAACATATTATTTTCTTCTAGACCTTACCCAGACGGTATATTAAAAATTACTCAAATGTTGGAATTAGAGGCTTGTGGTGGTAGCTTAATTGACGCATCAGAGCTGAGCAGGTGGGAATGAGAGTATACATTCGATCTTCATTAGTACCATC